GGGAGAGCAAGCCTAGAAGAAAGGGGCAGGGGCCTTGAAGAGTGGCGCTGCTTAGAATAAAACATAAGAATTAGTTGAGCAAGAAGAAGAAGAAGAAGAAGAAGAAGAAGAAGAAGAAGAAGAGGTTGTTGGCTCTAAGGAAGAGAAAGAGGACACAAGTTGCGAGGAAGGTTCTGAAGAAGAAGAGTCTAATTAGACTCATGGTCTGTTTGTTGTGTGTTTTGAAAAATAATTTGTTTTTGATTTGTGTGTTAGTTGGCCGTGAAGGGATTAAGTGATGAACACCTTTAGTTACTTTTTTGTTTTTTTTTTTTTTTGGTATGATTAACTAAGTCGGTTTCTTGGATATTCTCTTAATATATTTGTTTCTTCTACAGGTGTGGATTATTAGAGTTGTTCCTATGAACAACATCTTTTTAGATGTGCAATGTTGGTTCTGTAGTTGGTATACTGGAATGTTTTTGTTGTTTTGTAAGTGATGCGGGTTCTTAACAAGGAGTTTTCGGTGGATATGCCTATGAAGGAGATTTTAAGGATCTGAGAAGTGAGAAGTTTGTCATTAAATCGACAAACCCTGAACTGAAGCTTGGAACCTTTATCATCTTCTGGAACCATTCTAAAAGATAAAAGGAAGTGTTTATTTTCTTTAGTTTATTTGATTCCATCTTACATAGTTTACTTTATTTGAATGTAAACGAGATATCTTACCTTATAAAGCAGCCTCACGCACACTTACTGTAACACCCCGCTTATCAGAGTAAATTTTTCGCAACTTTTATTTCGAAATTACTTATAACTCTTTCGAAATCTTTTTGCGAATAACTCGGGATGCTACTTAAACTCCTTCTTCCTAAAAATCTGTTTAACTTTAACTTTGTCTAATTATTTATTTTAGACATAACAAAACAGATATATATATATATACTTGCATTTAACTATATCATGTTCATATTTATGAAATGATAAAAACTTGAAATCTGAATTTATTTAAAATGCAAGTTCACATATTAATAAGCGTAGCGGAATTACTTAAAAACGTGAATAATTATACAGACTTATTTCATTTATTACAAATGTCCTTTGCAATGAGTACTCGACCATCACCACCACTTTATTTGCTCACACCTCCGGCCCGACCCTGTTACCTGAAAAACATAATGGGGGTGAGTACTGGTCCTTTTGTACCCCGTTAATACCCATACTAAAGTAAACATCAATAATAATACAATATCATGATCTTTGGTATATATATAATAACTGTAACTTAATCTGGCCGATATATTATCGGATACTTGTGCACAATCTGATGGATATTTCTAAGGCACGTATCGCCTCCATCAGAACTTAGGATATAATCTTCGAGACAAATTAATGCCTCCTCATCCCAAGCGTATAAACTTAAACTGTATACATACCTCGAACATGATATCAATATTATACTCAATGTAATACCCAGTCTGGGTCCCCACCTTTCTCCTTTGAAATCGTAAGTGTTGGTCTCGAGTAGCTAACTCCTCAAACTACATAAAAATACGTAAACAAATATACTAAGTACTATGCTCGTATACTCGGATTTTCAACTTTTTCGGGTAAATCATCCAAATCTTATAAAATCTCAATATTCTTGTTTTTCTTGATCTTTTACTCAATCAAATACTTACTTATATTATTTCTCCCAAATCTTATACATATGGCTTATACTCATTTTTCACTTGATTTTCTCGAAAGTGAAAAATAACTCAAATCATACTAAACTTTTCATCATAATATTAATATGTGAGATTTACAACAATCTTTATAAAATTGTTTACTCAACATATTAAACTAAAACTTGGTCAAATTGCTCATTACTCATATAAGAATTTTTTTCTAAAAATTCCATTTTAAAACTTAACCATGTACTAAATACTCTTGCATATAAAATCATCTTGACATGTATGCCATATAAATATTTTAACTCGCTCATTTCTCAACATAAAATCATGAAATTTGGCAGTCATGTTCTTAACCCATATATAAGCATGTCGTAAAAATTTCATAATTTTATCATGCGTATATATCGAGTTATTAAAATTTTAAAGTCACAGCTGAAATAAAGAACATAAAATTCAACTTCAAAAATTTATAACTCAAGCTATACTTTGCCAAATAACATAATTCTTTCACCTATATACTCAGCACTTACACAAGAAATATCCATAATAAGCTTAACATACCAGGTTATGCATATCATGCTCAAATTCAAATCAAAACAATACATATATAACATGTGATTGTGCTGGAAATAATTTATCATTTTTTTTTCATTTTTAAAATTTCTTTAAAAATTGAATATATATATATGGCATGAAAATACATCAATATTCACTTAATATAAACTATAACATATGATAAAAAGGTAGCATCTAACCTTCTTCAAGAAATTTGAAAATGAAACTTCGGAAGTTGATCTCAACTTATCTTCGTCAAGATTTCTCTCAATTTATCTCTCTTTCTTACCCTCTTTAGCTAAGACTTTGCTTATTATGATGTGAATTTCGAGTCTATGGTGATACCCCTTTATATAGGGTAGCAAAGGAGACAATATCACCTTCTTCACATCAATACTTCATCATAATAAACTCATTAGGGCCCTTGCCATTAATGTTTTTCTAAAATCATGCACAAAGTTGAGTAAGCTTTGAAAAGTACTTGTAATGCATGATTCATCTTGTATATATCAAGACAAACTCCTCCATTTGACCAATCCTCCATTATGGCTCTAATTTAGTCTTAAATGGCTCATTTATTGCTTAAAAATACTAAAAAAATGGTTATAAAAATAAATAAAGATAAAGAATAAAAATCATAACTTGTAAACTTCTCAAATCTATAGTCAATGCTTAGAAAGGGCCATCTTGTGATCCTAATCTAGTTTCCATGATAAAATTCGTGACTTAATGGAAAATCTCCAATTTACAGAACCGAATTCTGACTTAAAACGAACGGTTACCGAAAAATCGAAAATTCTGAAAATTTCAGATTTCCATCTTTTGCTTTTGGCCTTTTTCCTTTTTATGCTGAAAATTTTTAACTCTTATTAATGATCTTGAAACTTGTAAAAAGATACAAGAAAATAAATTTTTCGGAAACGAAATCGGATTTAATTATCGTCTACAACCGAACATCGAAAAACTCGAAACTTGCGAATATAATTTCGAATATATTCTTAATAATATAAATAGACCTTCTTGTCTAAATAACTTCTACTTAATCCTTATAACTTATCAAATCATATAAGTCACATAAAATACTTAGGCAATTTATAACATTTACTCGACTAACTCAATTTAATGAAAAACGATTCTGATTTAACTTTAATGTCGAGCCAACTGAAAAATAAAATTCTAAGAAATTTATTAAGGCTTGGAAATATAAAAGATCATTATTAATAAAAGTAAAATAGTTCTAACTTAGAACTGAAATAATTACTTTTATGAATTACTGAATGGGATATTACACTTACCATAGGCAGCAGCATAAGAAGGAATGAGAACTTACCATGTGGAGTTGGCTTGGAAAAGGGACAAGCGGCCACAAGGATGTGGACGTAACCGAGTTTGGTAGATGGAAGAAAATGCGAGCTTACCATATTGAGTAGAGATAAAAAGGCTTCCACGCACGACTGAAAAGATATTGAGAACATTTTATTATTTTGAGTTACTCGGGAAGAAGAGTGCGTGAGGAAGTGTTGGAGAGATTACATAGTTTCTTTAGTTTATCTTTATTTTGATTAATTGTAGACGAGAGCTTGTTCTCGATCTCATTGTTGAGCATAATCATAATTAGAAGAGCGCAAGTGTTCGGGAGGAACACTTAGAACAACACGTGGTATTCGTATTGAGAAAAACTACAAGAGATTTGTGATCGGGAAAGTAGTTGTATAGGTGATTACATTGTAGGTTCAGAAGAGAGAGTCTTTATTGTAAATCCTACATGCAATGAGTCAAAAACCTATATATGAATGAGTTCTGGAGGGAGAGCAGGATGCTCTACTGAAATTTCATGTTTTGTAGAATCTTGCTTTTGCAATTAAGTGAACGTATATCAATGTTCACTGATTTATATTGTTAGCGCAATCTTGTTATCTCTCTGAAGTTTTATTATTTTATCATTCTAAGTAAAATATTGTAAAATTACCGGTTTTACATTGTTTACAAAAAGTTTTTACATACATTAGGTAACATTTATGATATCTTTTTTCACCAACTTATATCATCAAATGATACAAAATAATAATTATTTATTACGTGTATTTAGTATTGGCATGTTTTTATGAATTGTAAAATAATGACGATGATTATATATCTAATTTTAACAAAACAAAATGGCAAGTCATATTGTATCGAAAATAAAAGTTTTTTTTTTTTTAGGAAAGATAGGAATCTATAACAATAACAAACCGAAAGAGTTTTTACAGCGGGAAAACTCCCGAATAAACCAACTCAAACACACTAACAGAAAACAGAAGAACAAAAGCCACTGCCAAGAGTACAACTAAAACCTGAGTCTCTCTGGTCCTGAAAACAAAAGTTACATAATGGATACTAGTCTATGGTGTTGTGTGGAGATCATTTAAACCAAGAGAATTGTGGTTGAGACTTTTTTAACAAGATGTCATCTTGGGGTGATGGCTCACCGTGCCATGTGAATTGTGGTCCACCATGAAAAATTGACAATTGATTAGATTAATTTTTGTGCAAGGGTAGTTTAGATAAATTTAGGTCTCATACTTAATATTTTTCTTTAAACAAAATAAGTATTTAAATGTATCATAATCAATCTAAATGTAAAATTATTAATAATGAGTGGTACTAAAATGTGAAATGATCCTCCAAACAGTCCAGTACCCATTATATATATAATTTCCGTAGACTTGTGCATGCAGATTCATATCTCGCTTTTACTACAAGACTACAATCAATTAGAACACTATTCCAAGGCTCTAAAAATTAAGAATTATGAAATTATCAAAACCTTGTATTTTTGCGGCTTCTTTTTTCCTCTTGATTATTTGCAGCTATTGTAGTACCCCAGACAAAATCATTTCCTCCCATGAAATTGAAAAGCAATCACTTTTAAGCTTCAAACAATCTTTGCTTGATCCTTTGAATAAGCTCTCTTCTTGGAACGCCCGAGTGGATTGTTGCATGTGGGAAGGTGTAATCTGCAACAATTTAACTGGTAATGTTGTAGAACTTCATTTAAGTCATTGCGGTCTTGCCAATTCTGAACCTCCTCTGTTTGATGTTAATATTATCCTTACTAATTTAGCCACTCTTGATCTCTCCTCCAACTCTTTAACCGTCGTCCCAAAATGGATTTTCCAACTCAGCAGCCTAATTTTTCTTGACCTGAGTAACAACTCGTTCGAAGGTCCAATTCCAACGCTTGCCAACTGCGAAAAACTCCAGCACGTTGATCTCCATAATAATCACTTCAATTCCACAATTCCAGATTGGCTCTACTCGTGCGAAAACCTCAAGTACGTAAATTTGGGAAGAAATAATCTACAAGGGAATATTTCAAACGCCATAGCAAATTTAACCTCTCTTACCACCCTTGATTTGTCGTCTAACGAACTTTCGGGGGAAATTCCCAAAGAGATTGCTAGCCTATGCAAGATTAAAGTTTTAAGCTTCATCGATAATAGGTTGCAAGGAAATGTTTCTTTTGTACTTTCGAATATGTCGGAATGCTTCTTAAGCAGTGTGGAGTACCTAGATTTGAGTCTGAATCAACTTTCCGGACTTATTACCCCTCAAATTGGAGAATTCAAGAGTCTGCATACTCTGTACCTCAACGCAAACTCATTATCGGGCATAATTCCAAGCAATATAGGAAACTTATCTTCCCTTGAATATTTAGACCTCGGTGCTAATAGTTTGAGTGGGGATCTCCCTGAGAGCATCGGCCAACTTCTCAACCTGAAAGAACTTTATTACAGTGACAACAAGCTTGAAGGGATTGTGAGCGAGACCCACTTTGCCCGGCTCTCGAAATTGACAGTTTTATCTGCCTCTCGAAACCGCTTGACTTGGAAAGTAAGTAGCCTGAATTCCTCTTCACAGTTCAATCTAGAGGCACTCCAACTGGGCTCCTGGAATGTGGTGTTGGGCTCCCAAATTTTCTCATGGCTTGAGACACAGAGGAAGAGTATAAGTGTGCTTGATTTATCTTGCACTGGAATCTCAGGCTATGTTCCGAGCTGGGTTTGGAGTATCCATTCTCTCAACCTCTCGCATAACCAATTGCAAGGCGAGATTCCAGTTATAGATAGCCGCAAACGCGGCATTTCTTATCCAGGATTGATATATTTAAGTTCCAACAATTTCAGCGGCCCATTGCCTCGTCTAGGAAAATTGGTGGCAGAGCTAGATCTCTCAAACAACTCGTTTTCAGGAGGATTGTCCGATTTTCTTTGTGACATCTCAAATCAAACGTATGGACTGAAGGTTCTTCATCTAGGGGGAAATCGCTTGAGCGGACAAGTACCCAATTGTTGGAGGAATTGGCCATTACTCCAAGTCTTGAACCTTTGCAATAACAGCTTGTCAGGAAGAATTCCAAGCTCCATAGGATATCTTGCAAACTTACTGTCGTTGAATCTTTGCAGAAACAAGTTTTCTGGCCACATACCTTTCTCGATTCAAAACTGCACGCAGTTACTGAAGATTGACATTGCGGATAACGATCTCGATGGGAACATACGAACATGGGATTGGACGAGCCTCATGCGATTGAAGTTTCTCATTTTACAATCAAACAAGTTGAGCGGCGAAATAAATCCAACCATTTGCCAGCTCAGCTCTCTTCAAATCTTGGATCTCTCAAACAATAGTTTCTCGGGTGTAATACCCATGTGCATCGACAATTTCACTGCAATGGCTACAAAAAGAGGCCTCGAAAAATATGTCTACGGCTTTGCAATTTTAGAGAGCGCGTCGATTGGCACAAAGGGAAGCAGCCTCCAATACGACACCTTTCTCTCATTGGTCAGTGGTATCGACCTTTCGGGAAACAATTTGTCTGGCAATATCCCAAATGAGATAACAAGTCTAGTTGAGTTGAAGTCACTAAATCTATCAGGTAATCATTTAACAGGGACGATCCCAGACAACATTGGAAACCTGAAGCAACTCGAGTCACTCGATTTCTCGAGGAACTCTCTGGCTGGTGAAATTCCTAGTAGCTTCAAATATATGTCTTCATTGTCATATTTGAATTTGTCTTGCAATAACTTGACTGGGAGAATACCAGAAAGCACCCAGCTTCAGGGCTTCAATGAGTCGAGCTTCAATGTGAACAACCTTTGTGGGCCACCACTAAAAGTCTCTTGCAGCAATGAAGATAAAGTCCCTGGAGCTGAGGATCAAGACGAAGAAGGTGAAATTGAATGGCTTTATATATTCTTATCTTTAGGATACTCTGTGGGCCTTTCAGCAGTCCTCACAGCATTCTTCTTGAAGAAGTCATGGTGGGAAGTGTACTGCAAGTCGTTACAGATTGTGTGGGACAGTGTTTATGTGTTTTCAGTTGTCAAATGGAGAATGCTCACAAGAGAGGTGGGTCGAAATTAATCTTGGCAACTGTGATTTTATTTGGTTGATGCTTTTAGTACAAGCGGCTGTTTAGTTTTTATGGCATCTTTAGGTATAGTGGTAGTAATAGATCACTAGGAATAATTCGCCATGGTTTCGTTTCTATCTTTTGTGTAATAAATGTTTTTCTCATTGTAATCTGTGTTGGTTGTTATAGGATTTTCTTTTGATCTTTGTTTCACAAGTATGCATATTGGATGTGCACAAATCAATAAATGTGTTTTCTCATGTTCAAAGGCATCGCAATGTTAGAGATCATCAAGATTTCTAGGTGATTAAATTTGTAGTGGTTTTTAGGTAAATATAAATGGATCCCCAGGTGAAATTTTAGAGTTAGGATTCAAGAACCATGTGAGGATGGAGGGTTTTATATAGGGTAGTACTATTTACCGTCCCTTTTATTAGTCACCGTCTTCCTTGGATAATTTTGCCTTTTTCATTTTTTCCAAACATATCAGAGCAAAATATAAGGTGAAATGTCGTCAAATTTCGAGCTACGAAAAATTTTTTGTCCGGCTGGCGAAACCGGACGGCTTTTAGCCGGTCCGACTGCCGGAACCGGATGGTCCAAAAGGTGTTCGGCCGGACGGATCGGACGGCATAGAAGTCGTCCGAAAAGTTCGTCCGGTCGAACGGGCTAAGTCCGAACCGGCCGGCCGGACGCCTTAAAAATCGTCCGGCGGCGACGGCCGGTCGAGACCGGTCCGCCGGGTTCGACCGGCCGGACGATTTTTTTTTTTTTAAATTATTATGTTATATATTCGAAATAATTATGTTATAAATTGGACGTTAGAAATTATCGTGTTATGAGTTAGAAATTATTATGTTACATTTTAGACTTGATTATGTTATAAATTGGACGTTAGATATTATCGTGTTAGGAGTTAGAAATTATTATGTTACATGTTAGACTTGATTATGCTATAAATTGGACGTTAGATATTATTGTGTTACGAGTTACAAATTATTATGTTACATGTTAGTCTTGGTTATGTTATAAATTTGACGTTAGATATTATCGTGTTAGGAGTTACAAATTATTATGTTACATGTTATAGTTGATTATGTCATACATTGGACGTTAGATATTATCATGTTAGGAGTTACAAATTATTGTGTTACATGTTAGACTTCATTATGCTATAAATTGGACATTAGATAATATCATGTTATGGGTTACAAATTATTTGTTACATGTTAGAATTAATTATCTTATACATTAGAATGAATAGATTATAATTTAACATGTTTTAAAAATATAAATATTGTACTATATAGCAGAAGTCATGGGAAGATTTTGGAGGAGATGGTATTGATTACAGTCTCAGTTTCGATACCAATACATTATTTAAGAGTGATAAGGAGGCTATTGAAGCTGCAAAATATCAAGCAATACTGAATAGTTTCCTATTAGTAATTTAGAAACACAAAAAGAAAACGGTCAAGCTTTTGAAATGCGCTACAGAGGCACAGGCGGAAATTCCAGAAAGACAAACGAATAAGTGAAATTGCGATTTTGAGATCAAAGTAAAAAAGATGTCTGGCGAGCCATACTGGAGGATCTGTAGATGTAACAAGGCAGAGAAGGGCTACCATAACCATACATTTGTTGTGTATCCTGAGGGTTATCGCCAGTTGAGCGGCCCCAACGCTTCATCTAAGAATATTGTTCGTGATATGACAGACGCTCAGGTGGCCTCGGAAAAAATTATGGCCGCGCTGAAGGAAAAGAATCCGGGAGACAACATTCATGTGCGACAGGTATATATATTTATATCTTGTAATATATGTTTTAATTATCTTTTTGAAGTTAATTATGATAATTAGTAATTTTTTTATATCTAAAAGTTATTGTAATAATTAATAAATTTTATTATCTTTAAAAATGTATTATTATTATGATTGTTACTAATTTTTTTATCAAATAAATTAATTAATTTACTTTTTTTATTTATTAATATAATAATTTTTTTGTTTTAAATTATAATAATTATTATAATTAACGGTAATCGGTGACAGGTATATAACTTTAGAGATAAGCTGCGGAAAGAGAATTTCGAGGGTAGAGACGTTCCTTCCCAACTTATGCATTTGGCCATGAGCAGCGAGTATACAGTTTATGCAGAATCCAATCCGAACACGAAAGCGTTGACGCATATATTCATGGCCCATCCTGCATCGGTTAATCTATTCCGGATATATCACTGGTATGTCGGCATAGATTCCACGTACAAAACCAACAGGTATGTTACTTTATAAATACTTTATTAGTATGAATCTTAAATAGTGTGTTTGATTAAGTTAAGTTATATGTGATTATATTTTTTGTCTTCTTGGTCTCATTTGCACAGGTACAAGATGTCGTTGGTCGAGATGATTGGGATGACTCCGTGCAACCAGAACTTCCTAATTGCGTATGCGCTCATCAAGGACGAGAAAGAGGCCAGTTACGACTGGGTTCTACAAAAGTTGAGACTACTGATAGGCCAAGGGGTATATCCTAGTGTGGTTGTCAGTGACAGAGAGTTGGGTTTAATCAGTCCTATTGAGAGGCATTTTCCCGAATCAGCACTTACTCTGCACGTGGCACATCAACAAGGATGTGGAAGATAGAGCCTACAAACTCTTTGGGAAGAGTAAATCATTCTCGCAGATTCTCACGCACAGTACGTGAAAGGCGATTGCGGAGGCCAGTACGTTCGATGAGTACACCGATGCCGTTGCCGAGCTGCACACAAAATACTCGAAGTATCCACAGGTGGTACAGTATGTGGAGAACACATGGTTAGGGCAGAAGGAGAAGTTTGTGAAGGCTTGGACCAACCGGGTGACACATTTTGGAAACACAACTTCCTGTAGGGTGGAGAGTGCCCACTCTATGTTGAAGCACTGGCTTCAACGTCCACCAGCGCGCTCAATACAATTTGGCAGAAGATTAATAAGCAGATCGATCATCAAGTGACTGAAATTAGGTACATATTGCAATTTTTAAATGCGTTATTATATTACTGCATTAATTATAATCTAATGCTATGTAATGTATTATCAGGACGACGCTTGAGACTTCGAGATCTAAGAAGAGTACACGGTATATGGGAATCCTTTTCGCGAGTGTGATACTGAGGGTCTCTGTAGCGCCCCGTTTATTTGTGGATTATTTGGGATTTATTATTATTATTTTTATTGCTATTATTATTGTATTATTAAATTGGTGATAATATTTATATTTTATTTTATTGAATGCCATTATGTTTATCTATTTGTCAAATGTGATTAAATGTTATATGTCTAATTGTCTAATTGATTTTGTGATTTACTAAATTATTAATATGAATAAATGTGTATGTAATAATGTGTAAAGTATATATATTTATTTTTCGGTTTATTTTTATCGCGCGTTTGCATTCAAAATCGAGCCCGATAATTTTGTTGGAATCGAATTGGGCCCGAATATATCTGTTTAAATTTTTATTTGAGCCCGTGAGCTGTTTTGTTGTCCCAACCGGCCCAAAAATCTTATTGGCCCAAATTTCTCGGGCCCGGCCGGACAGATTTCCCCTTTCTTTTCGTTTGGACGTGATTCTCTTGTGTTTGTCTTGGACAACAAGACTTTTTCTTAAACCTAATATCATCATGTACAAGTATATATATATATGTCCCTCACGTTTTTGCTCTCTTTGCACAAACAATACCCGCAGCAAATTTTAATCATCCCCTCTCTCTCTCTCGCTGGTTCTCGCGCAGAAGAGAAAAAAAAAAATCGATCGTTCTTTCATCATACATCATCACCATCTCGTCATCATCACCCTCATCGATCATCTTCTTCAACCATCACCTTCGTCTTCATCGTTCATCATCTCTTCATCACCATCTCCGTCGCCCCTGTTCGCGTGAACCGGTGGCAAGGCCTTTTTTCGGCGAGTTTATTGTGCTGCCCACGACGTCCGGCGACCTCTCCTTCCATTTCCAGCGAGCTCGTGAACTAGCAGCAGCGAGTTCTTCCTCTTCCCCGTGCACGTCGAGCCTTCCTTTTTCCGGCGAGACGAGTTAACCGTCGAGCCCGTTCGAACCCATTCTCGTTCGATTCCCGAGAACGGTACCTCGTCGTTTTTCCGTCTCGTTTAATTCATATATGCTCGTTGAATTGTTCATATTCATGTTGTACTCGTGTTATATTTATGCAATGTGAATTTATTGTTGAATATGTGCAAAAATATATGAATTGTGGTGATTATTGTGTCGTATGTTCGGGATCGCTTCAATTTTTCCAAAAATCGAACGAGACCTCGAAAGTCGTGTAAGTCGGTGGATAATGGAACAATGTCGAGTCCTTGGTCTTATGAAAAGGCCTCGGACGATAAATTGTGTGTTGTGATTTAATTGTCAAGTTGTCGAACTTGTTAATCGCTGTTTTGATGTTCGAATTTTTAAAAATAGCTCGCTGCTCGAAACGATGTGAAATTCTGAGGGATGTGTTATCTGTTCATTTCCTGCCTTGTGTAAAATGTTCATAATTTTTGGAGACCTGTAGCTATTTTTAATAATTAAATTGTGTTCTGTCCAGAATATTGTTAAATGCATAATAAATTCATTCCTGACTGAAATGAGCTGAAATTCGAATATATCATGCCCCTGTGTCTTATATGTGTTGTGTTAAAGTTTCAAAATTTTTGGAGTTGATTTGATATGGATAATATTTTATTTATTGATTCTGCAGAAGTGTTGTTTGAATTTTTAAAAATCGGCTACTACATGGAAAATTCTGAAATTATACTGAGAGTCATGTTTTAGGTGTTTGATCATGTTTGTAAAAGATGAGAATTTTTAGAGTCTGTTTTGTTTCAGTTTGAGTTTAAATTCGATAAACTACTGTTGCTCGTTTGAATTTTTAAAAATAGCAGCAGTTATCATTTAAGGTTGAAATTTTTATAAGTGGACTTTAGCATGCTGTATGTGGTTGTGTAAAATTTTCAGGTTCA